TTACACAATTTACACTCAGTGATTGACTTATTCTTCTTGTTATTTTGTTAAAAAAACTCAAAGTGGTCCATTACCTTGGACCACCCTGAGGCTGCCATTTTGTTTACTGATGGTGATTACAAATTTAGACCCAACTCAAACAGATTTTTGAAATTCACAATTTAAGATTTAATTAGAAAAAATAGATACCTGATGAATCAAAAGTGTTGAAAGGCAGAATATTTGTTAAATTTCAATTTTTATCACTAGCAGAGTATTGTTTAAATACTAAATTATTTCAAAATTTAGCAGCTGCATGTCCATGTGCATTGATATCAAATATGATAAAAAATTTGGAGAAAAAAAACTTTAAATTATTATTATTCGGCTGTATTTTCTTGCAATGGCAAAATTGTAGAAAGTTTGTGTTGAAAGGAAGTTTATAATATCTGTGACTTTATTGCCCCAGAGGGCATTATTTAATTATCCAGACAAATGGATGACAATCTGTCGTTACGCTTTTTAGGCAAAAAAATGGAGGCAATTTCTACATGGCATCCTGTGATTACTGCGTGCTGGACCTTTTATTGATTATTTGTGCCTGGCAGACTAGTAGTTTAGGCTCAGTAATACCTCTCCGGTTCAGCTTAGGGTTGTCGCACATGTGTGTTCCATCTCGTATTCCAAAAACTTCATTATTTTTCACTTGAAGAGATCAATATGTGAAGGAAGGGTTGTCAAGGGTTTCATCTTTCATGTATTTTTGACGATTCTAATTCAGGTCTGTGCCATTTACGTCCTGGAAAAAATACTGGCTTGCAGGAATTGATGAACATTTTTTAGAAGTGTCCCATTGTCTAGGCTCAGCAGCTCAAGACATGCGTTCCTTTTGTGTTGAAAGCAGACATGCTGATTTGTGTCTTATGGGGAACAGAAAACTGAAATTTAAAATTTGACCACGACACAGTTACTGACCATGTCAAAATTTATGGATTGGATATTTGGATTATAGTAACTTGTGAACTGAATTTACTGTGACCAAAAAAACTGAATACTTATATAGGAACTAGGACTTGGTTCCAGGAGAGAGTTGTCAACAGTCTTTCTTGGAACCTGATTTATATTCACTCTAGGTAACAATTGTTTCAATTTTTGTGCCACATAGCTGTATTACGAACATGAGCTATGAACAGATAAGATTTTGTTGAGGTCAAAACACAGCAAGTTGTGTAGGGTGATTATTGAGAAGTATCTACAAAGACAGCAGTTTGTGAAGGGTGATTGTCAAGAAGTTTCTACGAAGACAAGAGTTTGTAGGGTGATTGATGAGAAATATCTACAAAGACAGCAGTTTGTGAAGGGTGATTGTCAAGAAGTTTCTACGAAGACAAGAGTTTGTGTTGAGAGATTGTTTAGAAGTTTCTACAAAGACAACAGTATGTGTAGGGTGATTGTTGAGAAGTTTCTCCGAAGACAAGAGTTTGTGTTGAGAGATTGTTTAGAAGTTTCTACAAAGACAAGAGTTTGTGTAGAGTGATTGTTGAGAATGGTCTCATCACAAGTTAGATTTCATCCTTCTGATTAATTATCTGAGGGTTACATTAGGAGATAGATGTGATAATTCTGGCTAGTTAACTGATAGTTACATTAGAAGACAGATTAGATAATTCTGACTAGTTACCTTAAGATCTGACAAGTTTGATAGAATATTTCTGAGTGGTTACTGGATGGTTTCACTATCAGTTACCTTACTGACAAGTTTGATAGAATATTTCTGAGTGGTTACTGGATGGTTTCACTATCAGTTAGGATCATTCTGACTAGTTACCTTAAGATCTGACAAGTTTGATAGAATGTTTCTGAGTGGTTACTGGATGGTTTCACTATCAGTTAGGATCATTCTGACTAGTTACCTTAAGATCTGACAAGTTTGATAGAATATTTCTGAGTGGTTACTGGATGGTTTCACTATCAGTTAGGATCATTCTGACTAGTTACCTTAAGATCTGACAAGTTTGATAGAATGTTTCTGAGTGGTTATTGGATGGTTTCACTATCAGTTAGGATCATTCTGACTAGTTACCTTAAGATCTGACAAGTTTGATAGAATATTTCTGAGTGGTTACTGGATGGTTTCACTATCAGTTAGGATCATTCTGACTAGTTACCTTAAGATCTGACAAGTTTGATAGAATGTTTCTGAGTGGTTATTGGATGGTTTCACTATCAGTTAGGATCATTCTGACTAGTTACCTTAAGATCTGACAAGTTTGATAGAATATTTCTGAGTGGTTACTGGATGGTTTCACTATCAGTTAGAATCATTCTGACTAGTTACCTTAAGATCTGACAAGTTTGATAGAATGTTTGTGATTGGATAGTTGATAATTTTATTATGAGTTAAACAGTAGTGATAGGCTGGTGGTTATTGTCAGAAATAGTGTATTAACTGTTACCAGATTGTCTTGTGAAGTTTGTAATACTGACCAGTTAGTTATATGAAGGTAACTGTGACCTTTATTTTTTGTTTGGATCATACTCCAGGTCGAAATACTTACAGCTAGATATGAATGCTTTAGCAGTTTAACATGGACTTCTGCTGGAAATGAAATTAGAAGAAATTCATCATTTGAAAACTGACCCTATTTGGAGTGCAGAACAGAGTTTAACATGTAGAACAAAGGAAATCTGAAATAGCTTAGTAAAATGCAGATGTTGAATTGAAGGAATTTTCATGTTGATGAGTTGCCAATGGTTTAATAATGTAAACAAGTTCTATTCATTCCAAATCCAGGTCATGAAGAGACTACATTCTGATCTTTTTTCTGGGAATGAATAAAAAATAAGTTTTTGAAAACCATCAACAACTGGAAATTCTGCACACGATGAAGACAATGGGCTAATTACGTTACTATAGCTTGAGAACATATACTGAATGCAACCACCATCCCCTGTGTCAACAGAATTTCATTTGTAGAAGGAGCATAATTTAATAAGCTTGACAGAATTCTGGTGTGTAGAAAAGCAAGAAAACATTGCCTGAATGGAATTTGTGTTTAGTAACAGAAATGTGACGTAATAATGTAGCAGGAAGTGGGTGCCATAGTATGGACTAGTACATGTTTTCTGATTTTTGGGGGAATCCTTCTCTTATTAGTGCTGTTGTAATTAGGAATAATTCTTGACATAAAGATTACACTTCTGAGGTAACAACTCTGTAGAATCTTTGTAATAATGTAAATTTTTTTGTTGAGAAGGAAGTTTTGTAGAATTTTTGTAGCATGAGTTTTCATAAGGTGATAGGAAAGACTGTTTTATAAATTATAATAGACATCTCTGTAACTTGGGGGAGTGTTGATGCAAGAGTTTGTGGGTAGTTGGTGAGTGGCGAGGGAAATGTGTAGGTACTAGTCACTGGTTCTGATCAATGGGCTAGTAATGTAAGTACTTACAGGGGGCCAATCATAAGTTATCCTTGTGTTTACACACTCATTGTAAGTCATTGTGCGGGTTGCCATGGTTGTGCGGTTTTTATGTGGTTTGGAGGCATTCTTTAGTGAAGTCAGCAGAGGAAGCGTGATTCTACTGTAGAAATATGTGGGGGTTGATTGTACATTGGATATGTTTCTGTACTGCGTTCTAACTTCAGGACCTGTGCCAGAAATAATCAGGAAATTATGAGATAAATATGAACATTTCAACATATTGATTAATAGAGTATTTCGTCTTTCAGGAAATATCTTTTTGTCCTTTTTTACTTAAAGTCAAAACAAAACGATCAGTTATCAATGAAAGAAATGTCTCTTCACCCCACAGGTTGAGAGAAAATACTTACATGATAGGGAATTACCTTATGGCAAATATCTAATCGAGTCAGACACATATGTCCTCCATTATCCATGGTTTGCCAACTTCATTGAATGGTCTGCATAAAATCTAGTGTTGTTGGAGGCTCTCTATCTTTCATAAACTTCATAATAAAATTAAAATTTTGTGAAATAACAATCATACACAGAAAAAAGCTTTTGTTTACATTTTGTATTTTGACCCATTTTGATTAAATAATAAAAATAATAAGGGAAAAAAAACCCAAAACATAGGAGATCAGAACAGTGTCCAACTTTTCTACATAATCGCCTCTGTTTAGTATAAGTACAATAAAGGGTATTCAATTGTAAGATCCTAAGGCTCTCTTTTATATATGTTATATTAGAAGATATTAAATCATTGGAAACATCTACCCCATATGACACCTCAATCAGTTGTGAGATATTAGATGGTGCCCCCCCCAGTCATCACTGGGTACAGCTGAAGTTTGATTTGGGATGTCAGTCTTGATCATCCTTACCTTCCCTATGCTAGAGTTACACTGTTCTCTAGAGATTCTCAGTTCTGTAGGTAACAACCATTTGGAGCTTGTCCAGGGGTGTCCTGGGGGAAACTAAGACAGGTATCACAGAGAGCTTAGGGACTGAGAGGTTCTCCAAGGGATAGATGAGTGTACATACTTTGAAAATGGCTATTAGAGAAATCCTGTTAGAGAAAATATTGATTTGTCAAGTAAACTTTATCTAATCACCAATCGTCATTAAGATTAAGGGCAGGACAAGAACTATTTGTAAGTCATCTTTTATGAAATAAGTATTCCTTACTTTTCTCTGTGGAATATTTCAGAACAAGATAAGCATTCTATAAGTAGTATTGTCACAACACCAAGCGATACAGGGATGAAAAAGCTCATGGAGGCTGAAGGTTTAGCACAGAATTCATAAGACACTGATTAAGCTGAAATAGAGAGATGATTTCACTGATTTGAGATCAACTGATTAGAAAGAGATGAAGGGATCAGATGGCTGTTCTGTGTGATCTACAGTACACCAGTATGTACCAGGTGACTAGAGAGATGTAGAGGTCTGCTGGCTGATCAATACCATGTGATGTAATAGCAGCTCCTCATGTTTTGAAACCTTACACCCTCATGGCGGAGCCTGTTATACTCTGATGTGTGTAATTAGTACCAGGGGGTGTGATAGTGACCCCCTGGGAGTCCTCTGCCAACTTCCCCACTGACACCCCCTGGGGAACCCCTTGCAACCAGTAGTGGATGATGCTAAAGTGGTGCAGAGATAGGGAGTGAGCTATTTATAGCTGGTGATGGTGAGGAGTGTGTGTTGGGAGGAGAATTACTTACTCTACCTCGCTGGGGGCCAACATCCTCCCACTGAAACACAGTGAGGGCTTCTGTCACTCTACATCACCCTTCTACATTTCGGATTTATCTTTCTGCCAGTGACTTTGGAACTTTCTACCAACTTGTCTAGAAGTTTCCACTACTTTAGTGGAGTTTTCAATCCTAACTGTTTCGTGTTGGGGAATACCTCCTCCCGGTGTATATGATGAGAAGCCCAGTATAATATTTGTGTGTGTGTATGGCCTACCAGCCTGCCTGTAAAGCAGTAACACAGACCTCAGCTTCACTTGTCCTTAGTTACATTACCGACCCTAGTGGATTTAGCTGGATTTTGTGCGAACCAATTGGATAATATCTGTGTTTATCTCTTCTGGAGTTTCGATCCAGTTTTATTGGAATAAGGCCACAGGATTGTTCAATACGTTTCCTCCTCCGTCTTATTTTCAGTTATTTTTGATGACCAAGAACCATAATTAGTCATTTTTGTGGTAAGAAATAGCTGATGTGAGGCTGTAAATAGAGGAATTGTGAGAAGTTTTTAGCTGTGATAGATCCAATGGTGTGTCTGAGATGCGAGTGGATGCCCTTAGTCAGACGGGTATAAGGGAATGGGCAGTGATGCCTACAACACAAACCCTGTCAGGAGCGTCCAGTTCATCTGGCCTCAATGGCTCTCTCACCAACAATCAGTACAGCTATAGTAGCTACAAACATGATAATGACTACCAGAATATCGCGGTAAGTCAGTTCTAATTGCCATTTCCTATGTTACATCTGAACAGTTTTTTTTTTTTTATAGCTTGTTTGGACCAATCAGTCTCTTTTCTAGACCCAAGTTACCTCCCTTTACCTTATCGTGGTTATCTTCTCCTTTCTGTACAACTCTGATCTATCATGACTTCTTATTGATTTTGAATTTTATGGACCGGTAGACTTCCATTCTCTGTGGCTATTTGAGAACCAAGATATATACGGCTATTATTTTTATAAATAGCACTTCCCTGATGAGCTGTGATGTTCATGAGAATTTCACAACAAACAGAACTTTCAATATAGGGCTGATTGGTCTAAATTGTTCAAGTTAGGGGCAAAAATTGCTTACAAATGAATTAACGTGAGATATATTCTTATGTTTTGAAATAATCAGTTACATGTTGAAGAGAATTATATTATTATGTCTGAGGCATATATATATATATTTTGATGGTTTTAGTTTCCTTAAATATTTTGATACATTCCTTCACAATGATGAAATTTCAACCCCATGAAGTAGACGTGGCTTTTCAGTCACCTGCTTAGATCCTTAGTTGATATAAACAAAACTGTAACACACTCGAATTTTGTAATTCCCAAGGTTTATGACCTTAGATTTCTGTCTTCACCTGTGCTCCCTTTTATGCAACCATTCTATATATAAGTTTCTTCTTTGTAAGGGAGTCATTAATACAACAATCCAAAAGTCGTTTTAATTCGTCCTTCTGATGCCATTTTGTGTATTACCAATCTTTTTAGCTTTCTGGTCTTTAAATCTGAATGAAACCAATTTAATTCCCAGTTTGTAATTTGAAGCATGAGATAGCCTTTGTCACCTCATCAGGTGACCAGATATCAGAAGAAGTGGAGTAAAATGGCATTAAACGTTGCATTTAAAGAGAGTTGTCTCCCCTGATAAATTTGATTAGATCTGGTATAAAAACCACGAGTGTATTGGAATGTGGTGTTATCTGACCCAGCCTTGTATATCTGTACTTTGGGGATTCCAAGGGTTTTCTGGCTTGTTAGATAGTTTTTCTCAGTCTGATGGAGAAAGAAAATGGTCTGGCCTTCATGGTAAAATAAACAGGTACTGAATAGCTTTAGAACAGGAAAAGCTTGTAGACAGTTAATATGGACAGGTGACTACAAGGACTGTTTATCATTTCTAGGGAGACAACATAATGTTGTTACTTACTACCTTATCTTGTGAACAATAGAAAAAATACTGGAAAATGACTTTCCAATTTACATCACAGGAATGGCTGATTATTTCCTTAAAGATATTCAAATTTTTACTGTAGTCAGGAATTTTCTAAAAGTATAGACTATAAAACTGTAATATTAGAGGTTGTAAACCACTGGCTGCAATATTCTCAATGTTGTAGTGGGTTGTTCTTCATTACTGAAACACTACTTGATATCAGGTTTTGTGTCTACACTGTAGGACCAGAAATTGTTATTGAGACTAAATGGACATGCTTGCTGCAGATAAAACTGTTCTTAATGAAACACTAATTAATTTGTATTACGTTACTGCAACATTTCATAGCTTTCATGGGTTTCAAATTAAATTTTTGAACGCCATTAACCCTGACACTCCCATCTACCTGTATAATGAAACATTCCATGTATGGAATCAAACTTTGAAGAGTTCATTTGAAGGGATTGAAGGATTAATACATCTACATTTGTTTCCAGTTAAACTTCGAATTTAGACGATTTACATGTAATAGATATTGTTGTTTCCCCCTGTCTGGAGAGGGAATAGAGATATATTTCAATGTTTAACCATACGATCTATCAATTCATCAGCAATCCAGAGTAAATGAAGATGTATTAACTTAAAACTATGGTGGCATGTAGCAACATGAAAACACCCAACACGTGTATCAACATAGACATCAAACCACAGTGGCAGTGTACCAGCATGCCAATACTAATCACATTTGTACTGTGACATGCCCCAGATCTCTGACAAACCATACTTGACCTCTTTAAGCAGAGTTATTAAAACATTAAGGAAAATCACTGAAAACGTTTTTGTATATCCATGGTTATTTGGTGGGTCAGCTCCCTCTGTATCAATAACCAGGTCATAAGTCCTAGGGAATCTGTTTGATGAAGTTAGACTGGTAATATTTGTTTGATGTAGAATAATTAAGCTGGTAAAATGATTGTTAGTGAAAAGTTGGTGTGGTAAATGTATACTGTTAGGCAAGGTATACATACTTTGTTGTATGAAATATTGATTAGGGATCTTTTTTAAACCGATATCATGGTAAAATGGTCTTTTAACTTCTTTAAAAAAAATTGTTTTATAGATATATATATATATCAAGTTTATCACCTTATGTACAATGACAATTGGTTTTTGTTGAGAAATGCACACAAAGGGGTTAATTGATAACTATGTAAAGAAAATCCTTATTTGTTGAAGAAAAGTCTGGTTATGTAAATTCCTGTGTCTTATATGATATGGTCTGTGCACAAAACACTGTCACCTGTAAACAAAAATGGCTTTCCACCTTAATAGATTGAGACAATATTTGCGAGTAATGTCACTTATTTCATAATTCTGAATTGACTTTGAGTTATCAAATAGCTTTTGCCAGGCCCATTACAAAATCAGGTGCTGAAAAACAGTACTCAACTATGATCCATTAAAATGACCAGTTCTCAGCTGTGATCCATTAAAATGACCAGTTCTCAACTGTGATCCATTAAAATGACCAGTTCTCAACTGTGATTCATTAAAATGACCAGTTCTCAACTTGACCAGTTATGAGCTGTGATACATGACATGGACCAGTTATGAGCTGTGATAGATGACATTGACCAGTTATGAGCTTAGATACATGACATGGACCAGTTCTGAGCTGTGATACATGACATGGACCAGTTCTGAGCTGTGATAAATGACATGGACCAGTTATGAGCTGTGATACATGACATTGACCAGTTCTGAGCTGTGATACATGACATTGACCAGTCCTCAGCTGTGATACATGACATGGACCAGTTATGAGCTGTGATACATGACATTGACCAGTTCTTAGCTGTGATACATGACATGGACCAGTGCTGAGCTGTTCTTTTGGTTTCTAGCTGTTTTAGCTGCTCTACATTGTTGATGATTTTCAGCTGTAATTGTGGGTTATATTCAGCTGTTCCCTTTGGTTACTTACTGGTGTCTCATGATATTCAGCCTAATATCCTTTGTATGTTGCCTTGGTTGCCAAATTTCTTCTCTTCACTTCATTACAGTGCCCATGGAATCCATGTCATTGTTGACATACAGAGGGTACTATGGTCTCATGTAGCATATGGTCCCAGTTAGTGTACAGTGACTAGACAAACACTCCTGTACACTTATATATCCTATCAATAGACCTTCGAAGTTCAAGGTCAAGGTTACTTCACTATAGCTCAAGGTCATATATGTTAATGCCAAGAAATTTGTTTTATTAGTCTTCAGAGATGAAAGCAAGAAGAATAGATATTCATTGATTGATGAATTTAAAATCAAAGTCTGGCAGTTTCTGTTCTGAAAAAAATATTTATCTTGTCACTAATGGATATGTTTCTTACACCTGAGAAAAACGAAGAAATACATATATATGTATAAATATATATACATATGCCTCAGTTATAACATTTGTAATAAAAATCTAATGTTTCCTTTAAATAAATGAATGATGAATAATTTATATGAAATTGCTATTATATAAAAAATGAAGTCTTTCGTATTCTTAAACATTTTATTGAATGTTGTTTTATAAATCAGCAGTGCTAAATATTTAATACTGTAAATCTACATATAAAGACTGTCATCCAGTGATATATAGGGGAATTTTAGGGTAATTGCACACTGGTGAAAGCCTCTTGTTTATGTATATATCAACTGACTATATTAAAGCAGCCCCACTAGCTTGGTCTGTCTATCCTGGTGACCTTTAAGTGACCTTGTTGTTAGGCAATACATCACACTTACAGTGACGCCACGTCCCACGAAGAATCCTCATCCCAGGATGTCTGTGAAAAATGCATACTTTTTTCTGGAAAAAGGATTGATTTAATGGAAAATAATAGAAACTTTGCTTACTGTTACATTCTCTGATCAATACATGTGTGGCAATTAACTTCTTTTTTTTTTTTCTTCTTCTTCTTTTTGAAAATTTAAACTTTTTAACATTGCTGAATTTTTGCCCTCCACAGATATTGTAGTGATTATTAGGAATGATAACTTGTGTTAAAGAAACTTTCATTTACGATTACTAATTAAGAATGTATAAGAAATAGCTTTTATCAAAGGAATTATTTATTTTGAAAAAAAAAAAACTTTTGAGTTTGAAATTAGGTCACAGGTTATGAATCTTAAATGAACTCCAAGGTCATATCCAGGTCACCATGTTGTAGATTTGACCTCATGCAGTGTGGCTGTCTCATTTAATGTTATGTATGTTGCACACGCTGATTGATGATGATGTCCTGATGTAATTTTTTTGTGACACATTCGCCTCCCTTATCTATCTCATGTGCGCCCTACCACTCGACTTGCCGGTCAACCGACAATGAAAATGATCCGACTACACTATGGGCTGTCTATCATTAAATCTGAATATGAATGAACGATGTTTGGGGTATCATCCGTGCTGCCTTCCTGCCATCCCTTACCACGACATGATGATGCTGTTTTGCTGTTGGGTGATTGCTGGGGTGCTGCCACCTGGTGGTTGTGGGGATGATGCAACAGGATGAAAGTGAGGCTGGTCCGAGGGTTGTGGACGATGAAGAAGGCCATCTGATCTATCAGCCGGGCGATGTCCTACAAGCACGATGTACACCTCTTTTCGTAACGTTTAGCCTAGACTATATCTTGCATCATATGTGTCCCCTATTTTGTGTATTATCCCTTCGATTGACCTTCAATGTCCAAAACATTTTGACCATATTTGGTCTATATGATATTGAATAACATTCGAAGGGATAACGCTACAGAAGAGTTCCAAGAGAATTACCCCTCCCACACTTTTTCATTTATTAAGTACCATGAAACACAAGGAAAACGGGTTTGGGTTTTCTGGAATTATAGGAATTATGCTTTGTAGTTCTGCATCAATAATCATTGATAATAGAATATTGTGAAATATTACATGTATTGTTATTACCATTTGGAGGTTGTTGCATAAGATGAGTTATTTCCCTTAGTGCAATGGTAACCATCTGAGTATTATTGGCTGCCAAATATAACAAACTCCAATTTATATCTTTATCACATATAGCATACATATAGATGTTCTCATTTTGAAGAGTTTTGTTTACAGGGTGTTTAGCAAATGGTAGCACATGTCCGGGGATGGGGGAAAAGCGTCCACATTTATAATTGATTTCATGCCTTTCACTCTTTTGATCAGAACTTTAGTCCAATTACCATGAGCTTGAAGCAATTTCATGGGAACTTTTCGAGGATGTTTCTGAAAGTAATGGAAGCTTTTCTCATAGTAATCACTACCTTGGCATTTCCCCAGGGAATTAACCAATTCTAATAGTTCTATTTTCTCTTCCATTTTGATGTATTTCAATGTGGATTGTTTATCAAATGCATGTGAATTTACTGGTGTGGTTATTTTGTTTGCAGATGAAATTGTTTCCACCCTAGGCGAAGGTACCTTTGGAAAGGTTGTGGAGGTCAAGGACATGCAAAGGTAGGTCAAAGTAAAACATTAATTAGTGTTAACATGGCAGGCAGAATCTCAGAAATGCTTCAGTGATACACAATACTATCAGCTTCCATACCTACTGTATGAAGCATTTCCAAAGTTCAAAACCCTTATATATCTATCGGGTTCCGTAGTTTCAACAGTGAACATATACCCAAAATTTCATTGTTCATTATTTTCTTTTTGTAATTGAACAGAAACTGGTTTTGAGTTATATCTAGTTTTACGATTGATCATATATCAGTGATGTTACGATGATAGCATATGATATGTTATCTAATAGTCTAACCTCTTCTGATGGGAAAATCATAATCAGTCATCTGTACTGTAATATTTTCTTGTGTTTTATCAAAAAGCAAATTCATGTTCTGCTATATAAAGATGGTGAGGTAATTTAGGTTAAAGTTTCAAAAAAGAAAAGAAAATATTACTTTAATAGCGAATGCATTCATTTTCTATGAATATTGGACATACAGTCAGCTGGTTATGTAATTGGTTAACTACATAGAAAAGCCTATCAATTTAAACGATAACTGATTATGGATTTTAACCGATTTCCCATCATTATCACATATATTTCTTGGAAATTAGGATGAATTGTATTGTTTTGTTAGTGTTTATTTTTGGAAGTTGAACAGAAACATTTTTCATTTGAAATATTCAATATTTATTGCCTCAGAATACAGATACCTTTCTGATTAGGTGTTCAAAAGAATCTTTTGAATTTTTCTATAACACTTTTTTCATTTTTATTTTTTATTTGGAATTAAAAAAAATTTCCAACAAAATTGGATTGGAAATCAAATCATATAAATGTCAAACCTGTCTATAAAGGCCTCTCAAGGGTGCATAGACAGATGACATTAAATAGAGGTTCATATTAAATTTGGGACTCAAAACAAGTGCCCCTTATAGACAGGTATTTGTGATATACAACTGGTCTGTAATGCAGATGTAATAGTGTTTTAAGAAGCAAAGTCTACACCATTCTATCAAGAGAAATGGTTGCAAAATTTCAAAATACAATATTCAATTCTTTTAAAAGTTTTAGAAGAGACAAAATGATCGATGAAATCTGTTGGAGAATACAAAATAATCACAAGTTTGCTGTCTGAATCCACCAGACAAGCTTCAACGTTTGAAAGGCAAATACAGTTCAATATATATCTACAATTCTATTTTTGGATAAGTATTGGAAAAGATACCAATGGTGCTGGTAAAAATGCCAGTGTCAAATACTGTGACCAAAGTTATCTTGGAGGTGATAGTTGTAATAGAATTAAAGTAAATTAGCTTCAGACATTTTTAAATGCCAGTAAAAGCCATTGAATCAAACAGGGAAAACTTGTGTAAATCACTGAATACAGCTTCTGTTGGTGCATTTGTTGTGTTGATGGTGTAAGGGTTATGTGAGCCACTGACGTGGGTGGATTTCTTCATGTTGAAATAGTCTTGTTTAGCCCCCTGGAGATTCCTGACAAATATAAGATCAGTTACAATATTTATAGTGCGGAGTTTAGGAATTGAAATGGTGCCAGCACGTAAAAGACAAAACGTTTAGTTTATAGCCAGTACAGAAGATGGGATGGTTATTTATAAAAGTTTTATTCCAAATAGAAACCTGAGTCTCACGATTTCGAAAACACCAGCTAAATCAAGCATGTCACTGCATATAGTTGGATAATATTGGGGATATTGGTTGTTAATGTATGATATTGTTGAGCCTAGAGATATCAGAAAATTTACTGTATATTTTCAAAGTCTTCTGTAAATATTGTTTACTTAAAAGTAACCAGAGAAGGCAGAAAGAAAATGATACATTTAGTGAAGCTTTGATCAAAAGAATCGATACATTTTCCATTTGAATTTTAGAGGATTTCGGTATAGTGAGCAGGTTATCTCTGAGGAATGTGACCTTGTATATGGCCAATTTAGATGTGGATAGGAAGCTGGTGAAGTTGTATGAATAGTGACTCACTGGTATATCTCAGACAGTCCAGATCTAGATTACAGATCACATGCTGTAACATACATAAACGATGTAAATTCTGGACTGGTCTTATCCCTGATTCCTTACCACTACATATATAGGACTGTAAGCAGAGAGCCATAGTTTGGTGGTCTTCTTTTTTTTTTTTTTTATCTTTGATTCTGAATGTATGCTTTTCAAACTAGTTTCCGATGGCCTGCAGTTTTGAATGTGTTTAGACTGAGCTGTGTGGACCTGGTATTTTTGATGTACGATTCCTGTATAGCATAGTTTAAAACTTGTTGGACTGTAGATTTGTACCAGAATTACAAATAAATATAGAGATGTGATTACACTGGGTCCATAGAGGGTCATCATTGACTGTTCATTATTTCATATATAGTGGTCACTAGCAATATTGATACATTTTACCAGTATTTAATATATTTAGGTCTTTAAAAAGATTTTTTCTTCATAGCAATGAGAGGGAAAATTCAGGTTCCTAAATCAATGGCTAGTTAGTTTATTTAAGACAGTGAAGATTGCAGTTGTAATAAATCGGCGATTGGAGACAATCTTTCAGCCTTTTATTAATACCGCGTAACTTTGTATCATTCTGATGTAATTGATCTCCGTCCAATCTTTCTGGTATCTTGGATTGGATACACAAGGGGTTTCATGTGTTACTAGTATAAATGATATGAAATTATCAGGAACCCTTTTAGCTGTAATCTGGTGTCCTTCATCTTACCAGATTTTAACAGAACAGTAGTGTCTTAAAGGCATTGCTCTATACCCTTTGCTCCCTTGTGTTCTAGTTGGAACACTACAGAGGGCGGGGTTTAGGAGTAGAAACAGTTTACTCTTTCATTCAAATTCAACTTTTCCACATAACATTTGATTTCAATTGAAAGCAAACTATCCTAGATTCCATATGGTTACAAACTAGGCCCTTCCTCAGTCTGTTTGATTCTCGACTGGACTATCTGATATGCTATTGGCATAAACACTGGACTGTCCCACAATCTGTTTGATTAAAATCCTTAGTGCCCCCACATATCATTTTATTGAAAACTTGCTTGTTCTGCATTCTGTTGAATTCAATACTGGACTAACCCACATCCTGTTTGGTACTTAGTTCAGCTTATGCATCATTCCAATGGAATTGGATTCTGAAGCAGACTGTCTCATATGTTTACATATATTGGAATACAAAGTCTGTAAAAATATTTCATATGTTTTCAAAGTCGGAATTTGAACTCCAATGCTTACAAGTCTTTCCATTCATTATTGATGTTTACGATCAAAGTGTATACAAGTCTAACCTTGATGGGAAAGAGACCTTACTACACTTGAGATGTTTACTGAATAACCCTCTGTTTCAGTGTTGGTATTAGTTTGGCCTTGTTCTAGTAAAACACCCTCCATTTGAACCTTCTATGACACCGGAGTGCATGCGGAAGTCTTTGAGTAGTATGGCTAGCCCACTTAACTAACTCATTGACTGGAACTCTGTCTGAAGCAAATATATCTTTGATTCGTGACTGAAAAATGTCACAATAATCTTGCAAGCTAGATTTGAATAATCTGAAAACTTAGTTTCTCTATAATTCTACTCAAATATCTAGTCTCATTTTTGTTGACAGAGTTTGTCCTGTATCACTTGATCAAGTACAGGAGAAGAATCTGTATTGTGTTATACTTTGTGGCACTCATTTGTTAGCATAGATTGGCTTATGTAGGCCCATTAGTTACATAATGGTGTGATTAAGTGGGAGGGTCTGTTGTCCCTGACTGGTCTTGGAATGATACAGTTGGTTATGGTCATCAGAAGGTGACAGTAACTCCTGTTATCAGAAGGCAATGTAACACCTGTCATCAGAAGGCAATGGTAACACTTGTCATCAGAAGGCAGTGGTAACACCTGTCATCAGAAGGGAATGTAACACCTGCCATCAGGAGATGACGGTAACACCTGTCATCAGAATTCAGTGGTTATGCCATTAGCAGAACTGAATGCTATAGAGAATCTTGGAGTCAGTGTCCTGTGTAGGAACCTCAGCAAGGTATAACTGTATCAAGAGTAGTAAACCAGACAGTAGAAGGATCTCTCTAAGGATTTCAAAAGATTATGGTATTTATCTTCTCTTCAACTCGAGGGAGACCATTTTATCTAAAACTTTTTCAAAGTCTTGAAAATATCACAAAGAAGAGCTTGCCAGATACTGCAGTCTGGAATTCCTTAAAAATATCTCTTTGCTCTCCTGAAATAAGAAATAAAAAACTCAATTTTGTATATATCAAAAGCTAAATTGTTGTTATTGGTAATTATATGAAGTCGGATATAAATCAAATTGTCTTTGTTCAGAGATCTGTTGGCTGTTGATGGAAATATCCTATCCTTTAATGCTGTCAAACAGGAAAGAATTGTTTTGAATGTAATATGCTTGTGTAGCCCAGACCTTGCTATAAAGATCAATAGTTCTGTTCCAGTTTCGGAAACGCTGGTCAAACTGATTTGGAAATGATACTGGGAAGAGGGTTTTTTTAGAGGCTTTTATTTTCGCTATTTTCATTGATTGAATAATACAGTATTTGAGAAATCACATTGAAATTGACAAGAGAATCATAAGTCTGTTCCATGTTATCTGTGAGGTGTACTTCTTTATGCAATTAAAGATATTGCTCAAATGAGAACCATATAAAGACAACCTTTTATAGTTAATTAAAACAGCCCAGTGTAGCACTTTTCATGTAGATTTGTAGAGTCTTCCTATAGTTTCTAAAAAGGTCCATGCTGTGATTATGTTTTCATTGAAAAGAAAGTACCTCCCTTGCAATGTCATCTTATGGAAAATGGCTTAATCTGTCTTTGGATTAGGTTTTAGATTTAGTCTAAGTATATTTTGTGTTAGGATAGCCTTGTGTGGAGTATGTAATACTATAGGCAGTCTGGTACTAGTACATGATAGAATGATTTAGTTCAGGCTGGTACAGCTTTTGGTCTAATGTAGTC